GCCAAAGCAGTACTAATGAGAATGCCAAGAACTTGGCACCTGTGTTGTTCCACCACAAAGTGCTTGAACCTTAAGAAAACACGGAAGAGCTGCTTCCTATTCCTCTTACAAAAAATGCAGAGACATCACTGGCTGAATGAGCGGCTACCAAGTCTTGAGGTGTCACCCTCTATGCCAATGACCACCTAGAGTGCATGGAGCTCTGCCTGGGGATGGATGAGGAGCTGACCGAGAGCTTATGGGTCAGGATTAAATGGAAGGCAGGGACAGGTGATGTTACAGTGGGGGTCTGCTACAGGCCACTTGACCAGGAAGATCAAGTGGATGAAGTCCTCTACAGACAGACAGGAGCAGCCTCATGTTCATAAGCCCTGGTCCTCATGGGGGACTTCAACCACCCTGGTATCTGTTGAAGGGACAACACAGTAGGGCATAAGCAATCCAGGAGGTTCCTGGAGTGCATCGAAGATAACGTCCTTCTCCAAGTAATAGAGGAGAGTTGTTGTCAATGGCTCGATGTCCAACCAGAGACCAGTGATGAGTGGCATTCCTCAGGGACTGGAAAGGGAAATGGAATCACACTTTGGCCACTGCTGCCCCAAAGCTGCCCCTGAGAGCTTGCTGCCTCTTGCAAGTGCCTGTTGACTGTCTCGGTGTGGACTACATGGACAATTTAGATATCCAAGCTGGAGCTATGATGGGCAGACTCAAAAAGCTGGTGCAAGGCGTTGTACTGCAAAATCTAAAGCTGCCCTCCTGCCCTAACTCTGTTATTCATTTGTAAAGATTTCTTTGGATGCTTAAAAAATTAAAAACGAGCAATCTGTGCTTCAAATCCTGATGCTGTCTATGCAAAAATACACAATGCCAGTTAGTAAGTTGCTTTTAAATTACCTTTATATGCAATTATTGTTTTTTCTCTGTAGAAAAATACATTTAGGTCCTTTTCTCCCTTTCAACTAGGCTGATTTAACTGAAGATGTGCTAAAAGACCATAAATTAAGAGAAAAGATAAAAGCAGAGTATAGGGACATGTCCTTTGGGACATTTGAAGTTGATGTCAAGGCCAGAATTCTTTCACAGCTTTAATAATGATTTAACATATCTTCCCATGACTGGGACAGCATCCACTATACGGAGATACTTGTTCGGGTTTTTTTTCCATTTCCTATGATATGTATATATTGAATTAAACATATATTATGCCTCTTTACTATTTTCAATTGGTCAAATTACTTGGTGTTTTCTGTTTTTGAAACCTTCTGTGCTTTCTTTAGTTCCTCACCAATAGAGAAAAATCAAAATATACAAAATAATAGCATAGTGAAAATTGATCTAATAGCTGTCGTTTTATCAACCAATTTAAAAATCTTTATGCTACTACAAATCTTGCCTCTATTAGCTTGTTGTGACTTTGTTCCAAGATATTTTATGCCTACGACAGACTGGAACAGAGGAAATACTAACCAGTTTTAAATCAAGATTATTCAATGACATCCACAGCATTAGGTGAACATCTTCCTATTAAAAACTGTCAAAATCTCAAGGATGAAATATTTAACTAATTATCTTCACCTCCTTTTCAAGTGACTGTTCATTTGGCTGCTTTGTTTCACACTAGTTTGTTAACAAATGCTGCATATGTATTTCTGGTTCTTTCAAATAAATGTTGCCTTTGCAAAGGCAAACATCTTCGAGATGTAGTGACCTCCTTGACATTAGGAAATGGCAAGGGTGTTAACACTTAAAATATTACTTTTATTTACTACTCCATTCATGTTTGACTTATACCAAAGATGGGAAGGAGAGTGTAAGATGACACTGATTCACTGAATTATCCAGTCCTTTTATAAGGTAGAATGGCCTGTCAGACTTTCTTACTGAAAAGGGAATATGGACTGAGTATACCTGGCTTGGACATGTCTTTCTCCTTTGTCAGGTATTGGCCCTTCACTCATTGATACTAAGATCTGATGTATGCATTCAGTCCGAGAGGTGTTTTTTCTCTTAGAACAGTTTCACTCACTTCAGCAGAAAAACATCTGAACGTCTTCAAAGTGACCAGAATGTAACAATGCATCCCTTTTTTGTAGCATTTCTTGGTATGTGATTTTATTTTCCACCTTCTAAAACTTACAGTCTATAATCACTGTGAATTTCCTCTGACAAATGATGTCTTTGGTGCATAACAGTAAACATGTGGAGCAATATTTGTTTTCTTACCATACTTTGATTTCTCTCAGCAGGCAATGCTTGGCACGGGTCTAATTCTTAGCTGGTGCTCTTAGGTGGTGTTTGACATATTTGACTTAATGAAAGTTTTCTTGTCTTCCTGTGTTTATTTCTTCCATTTTGAATTATGCCTGTTCTAGTTTTGCCTAGCCTGACCTTTGGGAGGATCTGAATGAGGAAGATAGATGATTTCAGCAAATATGTCACTGTGTGGGCTTTCTTGCTTGCAAACTTCTGTTTTAAACAGCTGTGAGATTAATGTGTCAGCCACTGGCTAATTCTTCTGTTACTGGACTTACAGCTCATCCCTTACCTCTCCCTGTCTCTGATATATTGACCATGTGGTTGCAACTTGAGCTTAACAAAACTGATCGTAAACTCTTTTTCTCCCACACACTCTCATTTCCTCCATCTTTGCCTACTTGTAAAGAATCATAGAAGCATAGAATGGTTTAGGTTGGAAAGGACCTTGAAGATCATCAAGTTCCAAC